CCGAACTCTATAGCTATATTTATATATATATAAATAAATGAAAACATTTTTCAAAATAGGGCTTGATTATATTTTATATGAGGTAAGAGACTCGAGTCTACTAATCTACATTATAATGTATTAATAAACAACCAATTATAAGCAAATTTGAAGTGAGTTAAAAGCTCCTATGCTGTCATTTTATTTTAATTTATGCTACGTTTTAGTGAAAAAAAAATAAAACAATAAACAGTAAATAAARCTTGGCTTAGGTTTAGGGCTAGTTTTAGTATACAATTAATTACTCTGACAATATATCTATACTAAAATATTTTATTTATAAAATGTCAAAAACTACTCTGTATCCCTAAGTTTAGATGATTATAGTCAGGAAAACTTTAAATAAATAATAAAAAAAATAAAAAAAAATAAAAAAAATAAAAAATTGTAAATAAGGAAGATAATATTATTGTTACGGACGATTCGAATGAACTGTATATGAATTAAGTCAAGTTATTTTTAATTTATGAGAATTTGATAATTTGTAATTTTTGTTCTTAACTTTAATTTTACATTTCAAATTGACGATGTCGGGAAACTAGTTTCYTAATATTTCCCTGGTATTTCTGTATCTACATCTATACCTATTACCTAAGCTATATGGCAATGGAATTATGACAATAGTTATATGCAGTATGTAGCGAATACATAATAGATAATAGTTTTTATATTATTTTAAATAATTTTTATATTTGAAGTTGTTATAGTAATTTATAAATTTGATTGGATTTTTAATTATTATAATAATTATAACTAAAATAATTATAGATGAGAAATTTCTGAGTTATTTTCGTACTATTATTTTTATTTTATAGGTCTTCACATATTTCAAAAAAACCTTTAATTAATTATGTAAGGTTATAATTGAACTTTGTTTTTTATTATTGATTATTAAGACGTATATAAAAGAACTTGAGCAAGATTAATTATAAATATAATTTTAGTTTGATATTTCTTCGTCTTAAAGTAAAAACAATAAACAGGTAGATATATTGGGTTCGTTTTAACTTACCAGTTATATTGGCGACTAACATGAATATATTTTTCTAATTAGGTACACAAAAATTTGCATGGAATTTTGTTATAACCCAAGGTTAATTAATTTTTCGCTGATAGTAAAGATATATTAACTTGTTATTAATTTATAAATATTTAGCCAATTTACAAACATAATTAAATTAACCTTAATTAGATATTTGTTGAGCTAAATTATTTTTAGCTAATCAAGAAAAAAATAAATCATAAATAAAACCACAATCCATACAACTTAAATATTCTTCCTGTTAACAAAATTAACAAGACAATCAATAATAGGTAGGTACATTTTATAAATTATAATCGTGAATTTTACTATGACTAWATTTTTTGGATTTTGTTCGCCGTTTCCAATAATTTGTCTTTTATTAAATTCTAAAAGTACCTACATCATATTCAGTAATTCGTGAAATGTTTAATTGTTGAAGTACAATTATAATTTCCATAAACCATAATTACATAGGTATTACAATATTACTAGAAACAAAACTATTAGTTCAAAAATCATTAGGTGCCTATATTATTATATTTATTTTGTACTGTAGCTCGTTATTAAATCGCATAATATCCTTATTCCATTTTATTTTACATAATTATTCTATCTTATTACGTCCATAAATCTAAATTATAAAAATGATTTACAGTATTGGCTATATTATATGAACGGTATTAAAGTATTTCTTGATCATTTGCGTTAAATTTAACGCAATRTTGAGCATAATATCAAGCATGAAGTGTATTGATCCTTTTTCTTAATCAGGGAGCAATAAATTTCGCAAAATGTTTGGAATTCATTTTCAACCCCTTTAATATTCGAATATTCGTAGCTTGCTTGCTTCATTTTTGTATTGAACATCAGTATAACACAGTGAACATGGAATACGTAGGATCACCCTATTAAATATTTCTTTCTGATGCAATATTATAATGTCATTTTCATAATTTTGTTGTTCATTAATGGAAGTTTAAGAATATCAAGTAATCATTTAAATATTATTACCTGAATAAATTATATAATATTTCTTTGTTAAATTTTAAAATTTAGATAACATATTTTTTAGTCTAGAATAATTTCAAACGATGTACATTTATTAATTATATTTTGAATAAATAAGTGTGCTGATGAAGTTTAATAATTTGTTTTACCAATTTAACAGACATTATTAAATTATTTAGGTTATATAATCGTCAGGAAYWAGGAATACAATTTTTTAGTTAATTTTATTGCAAAAATAGTATTCATAAATATATATTTTATTTTAAAATATGATTGAAAAAATGTATGATATTTAATAAGTCCAAGGTTGGGTATCTACATAATACAGCCTTGTTCTTAGTTTTGTTTCAAAACATAAAAAAAAATTTATATGACTTAAATTTGTTCGATGACTAATTATAAATGAATACAATGGAAACATAGAGAATCGTCCAAATGTATTTCTTAAATATTTAAAGTAGGTAAATTTGCGAATAATATAGGTATAATGGGTACAATTTGAAATGGTTGAGTATAAGTCCATAAGTCCATTACTTCAGATGTAAAAAATTTGGTAAAACATACAACATACGTTTCGTTAGGTTTTGAGTGTATCAAAATCTCTACGCTTTAAACGGGTTACCCATATGACTCATATGAGGCGCCGAACTTTTGCTTCGATGCACAGAATAACGAATAATGTAGTAGAACGGATGAAAATAATGGAAAATTAAAAATGTGCTACTTTAGAAAAAAAAAAGTTATTATTTACAGTGATCTCCGAGAAGGAAGTGACCAATCGGCGGAGGTGACGTACCGTTGTCTAAAAAGTCATTCCCTACGTATAAAACCAAAATAATATTTATGACAGTAAAAAAATGATATCGAAACAATATTCGATATCGTTTTTAACGTTATAATTTATGCCTAATGTAGATAACGATAAAATTAATATATTTTTTGAGATTTATTATTGGGAGGTATAACAACGCGTATAATGTTACGTATAAAAATATGGTCTCGAAACCAGATCGGTTTTTTTTTACTTTCCTGTAATATTATTTTATATATTTATTATATTCCACTGCGAAACGTCGAAAACCGTTTTCCCCTTCGCCGCCGATGATTTGTCCTACCCACCAACGACCATCGTYGATGCCGGTGTGTGTGTGCACCGCGACCGCGCGCACGATCGACTTGGGACCGTTCGGTGGCGGTGGCGGTGAACTTGGTGAAATTTCCGGTTGCCCGTCGTCGTCGCCGCTGCCGTATACACGACAGGCACCGCCGCTACCACTACCATTCACCATTCACCATCGCCACCGCCGCAGCCCGCCTCCGACAAGAGAATCCAAACGTTATCGGCCGCCACGAGCTACGATAAAAACGGCGACAAAAAATTACCGACATCGTTTGCCGTTTGAATATCGAGTACGGTTTTGTTTTTAACGACAGCGTTCGAACACTATAGGTACGACGGAGCTTACGGTGACGATTATTTTTCGGATTTTAGCCTTTAGCGTACCGCCGTGAATACCGCGACACAATAATATTTATTGTTATGTAATAACATTATAATCACCTATTGAGATCATCGCATCACATCATTCACATCACAGACCAAAATGATATTTGCGCGTAATATCATCATCCCGCATACGATAATATTATACTTTGCCGTACGGTCGCCGCCGATGGGTGGTAACACTGCTTGACGTATATATGTATATATATATGTGTTGATCATCGTCGCGGCGGCGGCGACTGCGGCATGGTCCGTCCGTTTCCTAACTGAAAACAATGGCGGCAGTCGTATGACGCGTCTCAATCCGGTATACCGTATGTTGCTCCGCCATCCGCTTTGCGTACAAGCGATTTGTTGATATTCATCGCGAATTGTATCGAATACACGTCCTGCGATTTGTATTTATTTGAATTTTTATCGCTTTGCGTAAACCAACTGTGTTGACGACACGATTTTTGCGTAATAATCGTAATATAACAATAATAATGACAGTTTATCGGTGGCGATATCGACGACAACCTGTAAAGAGACCTTAGATCGACTAAATTCGATCTCTGTAATAATAGTTTATGTGTGAGTGTGTGTTTGGCACTCTGTGATTGTTTTTTGACAAATCATTGCGACCATCGAACCATCCAAGACCGATCAAAATGTACGTTGACCTGACGTGAACACGGACGCAATAATCAACGACCGTCCGCTGGATCACTTAATGTTGTCAAGTGCGTACCACTATTTTGATTATTTTTAACGGTCATTCTAAATATTTTTTCCGGCTATTAACTCCAATAAATTGTTCGTTAGATTATTRCTCAAATTTTGAAAWATTTAGACTGGCGTTAGTTGTCCAGCCATTAATGAGTTGATGGTATATTGTTATCAGTTATTGTTTATGGTGGTCATCTTTCTAGATCTCGATAGAGCGTTCTAATAACATTTTTTGTTTCATTACTGTTTATTATTTGGTATAGATACCTGTTGAATAGTCTAAAATCTTCCTCAACTTCTTCAACAAATTATTATTCATAAAAGATAATCACTAGGTATCAATATTTATTTACCAGTTTCTTATCACTATGAGGTATTTAAAATTTCAAAAATGCATCTTAATATTAAATRATTAAGTAATAGAAATGTAGCAAGTGAGTTATGTTTTTCCAAAAGTTTTTTTAAATGAAAAGTTTAAGGTATTACTAAATACAATTCTTCATAATATATTGTAGTTTTATAAAAATTTATGAATTACCTATTGATTAGTTTACTATTTTGGTTTTGTTGGTTGTAGTGCAAATGTAAGTAGCTGATCAAATTCATTCTACTAAACTGGCGAGCTACCATTTGAATTGCGGTCCTGAAGGATTGGACCAAGGTGCATTGTTAGGGGGCGGCTGTGGTGTGTTGCAGCAACAATCCGCCGCCCCCGGCATGGCCGATGTCGTTGTCCATAAGCGACAAGCGGTTATTGATAGACTAAAAAGACGAATGGAAGGGTACAGGAGGCATAACCAAGACTGCGTTCCACGCTATAGCAACGCATTTGCAGAACAGCAAAATGTACAAGAAACATTAATGCTCAAACAAAAGTACATGGAAACAAAGACCAAAAGGAACGTTAAAAAGAATGACAAAAAACCTATGGAAAATGGAAGTACTTTGCCGGTAAGTTTATACATATTCTCTAAAATATTTTTAATTAAGTATAGGTTAACTWCATTATCCTATTTCTTAAATTTAAAAATAATTTAATTTTCATTTTATATATATTTGCTTAGCACAGTACTAATCTTGGTACCGAGGTACATACTTCATTTTGTTCTTGCTTCTTTATAATTATTTTCYATCGAAGTTTTCAAATAAATTGGTAGGTACTTAATAAATAATTATTATTTCCTGGACACAGAAATGTTCATCAGGTTTTTAAATGTTTCATAATCAAATATTTCAAGTTTGAAAATTGTTAGTGATGGTAAATTCTAGGGATTTGATGATTGATGTTGTGCTAAAAGTATTGATAAAATTCTTACCTTAAAAAATGGTGTTTCTATATTTTTTACCATAACATAGAATCAAATAATAATCATTTTATCATTATAGTATCATAATATACATACTATTATTTTAGTATTAAAATCAAATAGTTAACATTTAATTTAAACCTAAAGTGCACCATAGTATCAATTTTTAATAATAATTATTAAGCTATGATAATACATATCTGCATATGAAAAATAACATAAGAATCATGTGGGTTTCTAATACCTTGGAAATTAAAATTTAGATTTATATATAAGTGAAGAATATTTGCCCCAGT